TGTGTATGTGTATGTGTGTGTAGGTGTGTGTGTGTGTGTGTGTGTGTGTGTGTGTGTTTGTGTAAAAACATTTGTTTTCCATTAGAAATGTATCGTCTCTCCTTCCAAAGAAATAATTGGACATATATTCTAAGTACATATTTTATAGAGATAAGACTTTAGTCATTAATCCAATTCCCTCAGAACTTCTTGTTTTAGAAACTTTCTAAGTCGTTTAATAGCGGGAAAGAGTATATTTAAAATTCTTTGAATTTACCTGTGAATATTATATTCCATTTTCTGCCAATAGAAAATCCTTAAAGGTCCAGTGTGTAACATTTAAGAAGATCTATTGGCAGAAATGGAATATAATATTCATATGTTTTCATTAGACTATAATTATCTGAATATAGGAATTGTTGTTTTACCTTAGAATGAGGTGTATCTTCAGACACCAAGGTTTGCCTTCCATGGAGGCCGCCATGTAGAACCGCCATTCTTCTACAGAAGCCTTCGGTTTCTTCTACATGTTTTCAGTGGATGAGTTATAGATTTAATAAATATCTATGACAAATCCATGTGCACAGCATTGAACAATGACAGCAACGTCTCTTTCCAGAAGCCAGTCGCTCTGACACAGACTTTTTTTGTCTGAGTAACGTTTATGTTTGGTTCAAACCATATACATTGCAACTGAAGTTACATCCACAGTGAAGAAATTTTACCCTCCTCTATACATTTTTAGTGACCAAAAAGGCCAGGTCCCTCACTTGCGCAGTCAAAAACATTCCACTACAGAATATATAAATAATGAAAATGATGAAAATTAAAATAAATAATGAGGTGTGTGTGTGTCTGTGTCTGTGTGCGCGGGTTGGTGCATGTGCATTGAGCTGCATGATAGTCCCTGAATTTGTTTCTCACTTTTGTGTCGTTTCAGCTTCTCTCTCTCCTTGTCTCTGTGTTGCTGTCTCTCTCAGTTGGCTCTGAAAGCTAACTTTTTTCTGCACAATGTATTTATGTTTTGATGACGATTGCAGTTACTTGTCTGTGTCAATTTGCAGTTATAGCTACATTAAGCGATTTTTATATAATTGAAATAATACATTTTATTTATAAGTGCTTTTCTAAGTAGTCAAAAACAGTATACATAAAAACATTAAAGCAGTAAAACAACAACAAATAGTAAAACACTAAAAACACATTAGACCAAGCTAAACATTAAAAGTAAATAATACTCCAGTTTATAGCTGATTTGTTGACAGCTTAAACAGAGCCACCTGGACATCCCAGTGGATTTTTTTGGTACAGTAATTAGCTGCTGGGCGTCTGTTGCCCCCCTTTTCCTTCCCTTACTATACACACCTGCTGGAATGTTACATGCCTCAGGGTTTGCTGTCATTTGATTAAATCACAACTAATGTTGGAATATGCACCATTAAAGCACAATAGAAGCCAAAATGGATAACTAGAAACTAGATTTTAAAAAAAAGACAAATCTTCAAGGCATGACTTGAAGATCAGGTCGTAAAGTAGCACCCACCTGAAGAATGCCCTAATTATGTCCGGTATAATCAGTGATCTAATAGTGCATAATCCAAAAAAAAGTTCTAGTCAGTCACTTTTTGGGGCCCTAAATAAATAAATCGGGAATTATTAAATAAAAGTTCCTTGAAATAAATAAATGTAGCCATTGCCAAGTGCTTGCTCATGGTGTGAACTGTTGGGTCTCTGTAAATAATTAAAAAAGAGTACGGTCCAGAATCCTGAGATAACTTTTGTTATGATTTAGCACTATACAAATAAAACTCAATTAAATTAATTTTTTTTTTTTTAAATTATTTAACATTTATTTAATATCAACTCAACTGGCATTATCAAAATCTGTTGGTGTCATCATTACAATGTAACTTTTACAGTAAGCCCTCCTTGATGAAAAAATAACCACACTCAGATATGTCCACAAGGTTAGTCTTTAGCCTCTGATATTAATTAGTTAACACATATTTCCGTGTTAAAAAGTGTAATAGCTAAAATATAAAATAAGGTACATTTGATGGGGACTTCTCAACATTTATGAAATGTTGCATCATGAATTGAACACAGCTGTATTGAAACAGTAAATTAATTTTTTATAAAATTTGAGTCAGTTTTATAGATAACAGTAGGATGTAGGATTTAGTGGCATTTAGCGGTGAAAGTGCATATTGCAACCAAGTGAATACAGCGGACTCTTGTAGAATGCAAGGAGATTCTCAGGTGGCAGTATAATGAAAAATGCATATTAATATTATATTCTGTTTCTGCCATATTCTGCAAATAGAACCTCCTAAATCGTACACACTTGACCTTTATATATGTAAGACTGATAGAGTTAAGTTTAAAAACTTAAGAGGAAGTTCAGAAGGGCAAGAGAGTTGTATTCTGATGACGTACATCTGTAGCACCAGCAACCGTTTCACACTACTTCAATAATACATTTTATTACCAAAAATATCGCTTAATGGAGCTTTAAGTTTAAATCTTTGGTAGAATTACTATATAATTGCTATTGTTGTACTCTAACATGGTAGAACCAGATACATATTTTTCAATTTTGATGACTTTCAGTTAGTAATACTCTTGATTCAGAACTAAATAGTGGATGAGTTATTCACTGAACTTCTGCAAACATTATTTTCCACTTTTCTCATGTCTCTGCTTCTAGCATGATTTTCCTGATGTCTTAATGTTTTTTTTTCATGTTGCTACTATTTAAGTTAAAGTGTGTAATTAATGTTATAATGTCAATGGCGTGTTTAGTGCAGAAGACAGAAAATTCAAGTGCTCAAACCGTTTGGCATATGAAAATTATTGTATTGAAATTTTGAAAGAATATATATATATATATA